CCATTCTCTATAGTCCTTCAGTGGCAAAACCAATGTTAGATAAATATACAGACCTTAACCGTAATTAATCAAACATTACCAGGGGTCACCATTTTATTCTCTGTTCTAACATTTGTTTGGTAAGGACTTTAGATGAATGATGCTAAGTTAAAACTAAATTTCTTTTCTACAAATGGAAGGTGAGAGGCTCAGGCAGTCCCTGCTGTCTAATGATGTGCTCCAGCTGTCCAAGTCACCCGCAGTACTTGTCGGTGAACTCCATGAACTTCCAGCACATACACACAAATGTATCTTGGTGTTCACCAGGCAAGAAGCATCATGTATTGCATCAACTATGATCTAGCTGTGGCAATGCTGGTGCCCTTTTTCAAAAGACATTATGTGTTTTTCTGCTGTAGATGTGGCTGCACCACATCCCTAATATGGAACATCCATGTCCACTTGGGAACTAAAGAAGATCTTGTAAAGTCTTAGTGTGTTCAGTTCTTTCCACATTTCAGTCATATTTGTTGTTGCTTGAAGTTTAGAGTTAATCCTGCAAAATAAAGCAATATTTTTGGTAGTTTAATAAATAAAATGATTGGTTATGTCTTGCCTTGTGATCCATTCATCTGTAAAGTTAAATTTCTATCTAGTAAAGTTGACAGAAGGGAGAACTATTTATAGAGAAGAAAAGCAAAGTACAGTAATGTAAAAATTAGATGGTAATAATAGGGCACAGGAAACTGGGAATTATTTTTTATCCCGGGATAAAATTCAGGAAATGGAATTTTTGTTCTAGTGTTTGTTGTATGTGATGGTTCTCTACCTGTGCTCAAGGTGGTATCATTTTTATACAGTCTGTGCATTGCTGATTTATTTTTACCTTGTTTTTTCCCCAGTAGGTGGCCACACTTGCTAATTGAAACCATCCCCTCAGCCCGATGGAGTGGGTTGTGTCAAAGGCATAAAAATAGGACTTGGACATGTAAGAAGAGTGCCTATGGCAGAAACAAGTAGAGCAGAAGTCCTTTTTTTTTTTTTGCCTCTCTGTGCTCCTTTACTTTTTTTGCAGAAACATGGGTCCCTATAAATCAATTTGAAACCTACTGACAATACATTCTTTCCTATAATTCCTCTAATTCTGGAACCAGTGTCATATCCATTCTTTCCTATACAGAAAGTTATTTTGGCCACAAAAAGTATTTGTGGAGTGGGAAAGACCTGTAATTTTAAAGGTAAGATGATGAATTAAGAAAAAACAATTGAACTCACTTTTAAGGAAAAAAGGATTAAAACTTTCTTTACTTCAGCATGAATTTGTCATCTCCTATGTCAAAGGTAGAATCTCTAGAGAAAACTATTTGGAAAAAGTTGAAAATTTTCCATTCCACAGCAGCACTTTTTTTCCTCAACAGTACTTGACATTTCACTAGTTTCTGACATCCAATTCCCACAACCTAATGCCTTTTTCTGTCTTGATTAGGCTAAAACAGGAATGGAAACTGTCCAAAACCCTGCATTTTACTTTCTTTATGAAGTGCAAGCGCCCCATGTTCTGCAACACAGCTCTCACTCTGACTATGGTGCTGGCACAGACTGGAGCCAAAGCACTTAAGTTTGTATATTCCTGAAGGTCTGTGAAGGCCAGAGAACTCCGTGTAAAACACTCAAAATGTTGTGAAATGTCTTAATTATGTCAGCCATGCTGATGCACTTTGCTGTTACTGCATGGTTGCTTTCATGGTTTTTTATTCAGTTCATTTATGGATAGGAAATTACTGTTTTCTATGCACTGCACACTTTCTATGTGCTATGGTACAACCAAGCCAATGTAGGTACAGAGAAAATGTACACAAGTAGAGATGGAGACAGAAAAAAAGAATGTTATAGCAAAAAAAAAAAAAAAAAGGGAAGTTCAAGCACAATAAAGAGATTCTGCACATTCTCTAAAGTCAACTTCCACTTGTTATTACCCATCTAGCATTAAATTTAAACACAAAAAGGCTGAGCAGAACATAATATTAAAACTCTACAGAGAAATGCTAAAATAGATGGAATGCCACCTGGTGAAACCATGACCCACTAATATAAATTTGTTAATATCAGCCAGCAGTTTCACTTTTGGTATATGATCTATGAACCACGATGAAATAAAATATGAAAACATGACCACTGGTAGGGGCTATCTGTGTGATTTCAGAGCTTTCCTTCCCCATCTTTTTGAACAGACTACAACAGAAGAAACTTGTCTTCACCACTAGAACCCACAGAGACTTGTCAAGCCTGAAATACAGAAAAACAGTAAATACAGGAACTTGGTAATTTGATTACTGCCACATTCTCTCGTGCCTCTATTTCACACATTCACAGTGAACCCTTGGTGTTTGCTGTCCCACTCTGTCAGCCTCAGCCAGCTGTGAACAATTTGGGCATTTCACAAAGCAAGAGAGATGTGCTGCAGCTCTGCCTTGCACTCAGAGAGTTAAGTTAGCCAGCAGGAACCTCCTGCATATAAAACAGGCTTCCTAACAGCAACTATACAATGTGAATAGAGTTCCTGCATCAAAAATTCCATTTAGCCTTGAACTTCAGATACATCTGCTAATCTGAAAGATTATTTCAATTTTATGAAGTATTTATTTATATCAGAAGCATAGATAATGATCCTTACATATGGAATAGTATGGTTCTTTATTAGATAAGAGGAAGTGAAACACGAAATGTCACATATGACGTGTTAAATCTCTAAATTGAATTCAGTTCAAGTAATTCTAAAGTGTGTAAATTCTAAAGATTTGATGTAATATTTTTCCACATAAATACTTGATGTAATATTTTTCCACTACTCATGTGTGTACTGTGTCTTACTCAGGTGGAGGTAATTTTCTTCATAGCAACCTGAATAGTGCTGTGTTGTGCATTTGTGATTAAACTACTGTTGATAACACAGAAATACTTCAGCTACTGCTGAACTGTGCTTGGATAGGGTGAGGACTTTCTCTTTTTCCCCACTTTGTCATCAGCCCCACCTAGGGAGAAATGCTGCTGATGGTCCAGAAAAATTGGAGTGGAATACAGCCAGGACAGCCGACCCCAACTGATCAAAGGGATATTCCATCTCACACAGCATTATGCTCAGCAATAGAAACTGGAGGTACACAAAGGAGATGTCTTCCAAGTTGGCTGCTGCTTGGAGACTGCCTGACACTGGCCTGTTTATGGGAGGTAGCCAGTGATTTCCTCTGTATTGCCTTTTCGCTTCCACTTTCCTTCATCTATTACATTGTCTTTATCTTAACCCACAAGTTCTCCTGCTTTTGTTCTTCCTGTTATGTTCTCTGTCTTGCTGCAGGGAGGTGAGTGAGTGAGTGAGTGAGTGAGCAGCTGCCAGGTTGACTGGATGCTGTCTGGTGCTCCAGTGCATGCCTGTCAGGTGTGTAGTAAAACACATTTGGTTATCAGGAATCTGCTGTTTGCTCAGTAAATCCTGCAATCTAGTTGAACATATTGAGACCAGTCAGAGGGTTATGGCGAATAAGCAGTGTATTAGGGCAGGATTACATGATTTAAAGGACAACTCTTACAATTAGAAAACTCATAGCTCAAAAAAGTTTGTATACTTTACTTACACAAACATGTTTCTCTGGAGCTAGTCTGGCATTCTACATCACTGATGAATGCAAAGACTATTTTCCTTTTTTTGAAGTTACATATTGGCCTACATATTCACAAAGCACTTATGTAAGTGATTAACTTCAACTTAATAAAGCAGAAAGGGGAAATTGTTTTTTTAATCTTCATCAGTTCTTTTTTCCATACACTTTTCCATTGGTACCAATTTGGTCTCAGAGTAACAATCTGTTTTCACTCCATTCACTTCATTACGTTCAAGTATTGATAAATCATACTAAGGAAGGGGAAAGTAGCATAGCACTGACCACAGGCTTTATATAACTTGATTTTTGCCTCATTTAAATGTATGTGGTTGAAACAAAAAATGTATTTTGAGAATGCAACTGCATCAACTTGATTATTTCCTGTGATGGAGTATCCAAACAATCTTCATTAAATTGTACCAATTACTAAATACCATTATTGATACACTTACTGTCTTACCAGTTTGTTTGTTTCTTTCTTTCAAATGCCAACTCTTAGACCTTGTTGAAGCTGCTATACTGAAGAAACACTTATCATGATTGTTCTGTTTCCGCTGCAACCCACTTACAGCCTGTGGCCAACTGGCCTTTATCCTGCTCTCTCGCAAGGCCATGCTTTGTGTTATGAAGCAATTGAGACTTGTTCTGAGCTTTATCAGTGGCTGTTCAAAAAAGGCAAATTCCCGATGGCAATTCAAGTTTTCCCATGTAGTTCCTCCTTTCAATTCATTTGACTAATACCTTTGAAACTGGTTCTTTTAAATGATTAAACCAAGACTTGTCTGTGTGTGCAATGCCCAGCTCTCCTCCCTGGCTCCTCAGAGGCCTCCTCAGGCTGCAATGCAGTCCCTAGAGGACTGGCAGAGAATCACGGAAGAGTTTAGGGTGGGAGGGACCTTAAAGATCATCCAGTCCCAACTCCCCTGCCTTGAGCAGGGATACCTCCTACTACAGCAGGTTGCTCGGAGCCCCACCCAGCCTGGCCGTGAACACTGTCAGGGATGGGGCATCCTGAATTTCTCTGAGCAACCCATCCCAGTGCCTCACCACCCCCACCGTAAATAGAAGCTGGAAGACGCGCGGGTCGCTCGCAGGGACTGTTCCCCCGGGCGCAGGAGAGAAGCGGGAGGTCGGGAACAAACACCCTGCAGCCGAGAGCGGCTCGGCCGCGGTGGGAGCGGCCGGCAGGGAGGGGAGGGAGCGGGAACAAAAGGAGGAGGGGAAAAGGTGGGAAAGAAAGGGAGCCACGTGACGGCCGGCGCGGGCGAACCGGAAGGGCACGGCGCGTGCGGGCGTGACGTGGCGGCGGCGGAAGTGCGTGTTGTGTGTGTGTGAGTGTGTTTTGGTCGGGGCAGAGGCGGCGGCGGAAGTCGGCGGCGGGGCTGGGTGAGGCACGGCTGCGCCCCCGCCCCTCGCCCCCACCGAGGAGCCGCCTCCCCTCTTACCCCTCCTCCGCCCACCCTGCCCCGGCGCGCCCGCCAGCCCCGACCGACCGACGGACGGACGGACGGACAGCGCTGCGCCGCCGCCCCGGCTCCCCCACCCCGGCCAGGTGAGGAGGCGGTGGCGGCGCGGGGGGGTCCGGCGGCGGCGGGACGCGCCTTGTCCGCGCTCCTGGCGGCGGCCGCTCCCCCGGCGCCGCGGGAGCGTCGTGCCGCGGCACGGGCGGCCGAGGTGGGCAGCCCGGCGTGCGGGGAGGAGACGCTGCTCTCTCCTTTCCCGGCTCAAAATGGCGCCCCCGGTTTTCCCACTTCCCCTTATTCCTGTGCCTGGAAGGGAGCCGCGGGGGAGGGGAGGTGGCGGCGGGGGTTGGAGGGGCTGGGCCCCGGAGAGCGGGGATCCTCCCCTGCGTGCGGGCGCTCCTGCAGAGCGGTATTGCTGCCCGGGGCCGGCCGGGAGGGCTGTGCCCCGCGAGCTGCTTGTGGGATATGGAAGGGGCGGCCGGGTGATGGGTCCCTCGCTTTCCCTTTCGCTTGCGTCTGGAAGAAGGACGGTGAACTAGGTGGGAAGTAAAACGCTCCCGACAATGCGTCGCCATCGGGGGGATCGCGACAGGCCTAGTGTGCTGGTATCTTCTGCATCGCACGGAATTGGAGCTAGACACAAAGCTGGGGTAGGGTAGAGGAACAAACCTAAGCTTTTTGTGTTTTAGAGGAGAGCTGACTTGCATAAGAACTATCAAAATCTTCCAAACAGGGCCATGAAAGGCTGTTCTCTCGGCATTTTTAATGACTTTTTTTTTCTACCTTACTCCTTTTTCAGAGCTTGCGGGTGGCAATGAGAGGCTAAACAGCTATTTAAGCAGCAGAAATTAATCAGTTTCTTTCATGTAACGTTCAGGCAAAGTAAAATTCATGGATTTTTAAATTTTTTTTCCAGTTTTATAGTGTCTCTTCAGAGTTACAGTCATGCTTACCTACGGATTGCATGTAGGTATTGTTCTTCCATAATGGGAAAATTGGAAAAGGTAGATGTTGGCTGAAGTGAGGTGGCTAGAGACAATGGTATTGTAGTCATCACTTACATTTCCTGTTTGATAAACCAGTTTATCTGAAAGCAATTGGTACCATTCATCATTCGGATGAGCTTATGAGGTGGCTATTACCTTTAATTGTAGGGCTATGATTTTTTTGCAGCAACTGTGTTGATTCACTTGTTTAACTTACAGTCTCATTGTGTTTCAATATGGCTTACATATGATGATCATTTTGCTGATTATCTCTGTCACTGTCTGGAACACTGCAGTAAGGTGCCACACTAATTCTGATGAACCTGGAAGGAAAATTGAGTTAGTAGGAGTGGCTAATATATAAGCCTTTGTAGTTACTGCCTTTTAAAACGTTCAAGAAAGTCCAGTATCAAGAAATTTCAAGTAGATAATAGTTCAGCCTTAGCACTGTATGCTTTGTGTCCGTTGATGCAGCATACAAAAGTTTATTAGTAAGAAACAGTGTTGTTTGCTGTGAGATATAAAAGTGGTGGAATGTTCCAGTTTTAAATTTATCGTGAATTTTTTTGTGTAGCCTTTCCATTTGATAATACACTTAATCACATTAATTGTAGGAACAGTGCTCACTGTCTTAATCTCTTCAGTAGGCTGGCTTTTGTCATCAGTGTTACTTTGATACTTCTGTATTAGCTGTATTGTAGTTGAAAATAGTCCAGTGCTTATGCTTACATGACTGAATTATGCCATTAAATTGAGAGTTTGTAGGTATTGGTATTTTGTACACAGACTCAAGCATAATACGACTTGTGTTTGATCTGTTAAAATACTTAGGACCCTTTCATAAATAAAACTCAGGACTATCCAACAGCATACAAATTTCTCTTCTGGAGTGAGGAGAATACCCAGCATCCAGTAAATTAGTTGGTGGGATTTCCAGGAGTACTTGGCTAATAATATACTCCAGGCTTTGTGTTCTGGCATTTCAGCATGGATCTGCTCTGACATGGGGGGAATATTCAGAAGAGTGCAAGTTCCTACTTAGCAGAGTGACATATGTATTTGTACTGCCCAAGACTGCAAAGTGGAGTTTTTATGTTGAACTCGACAAAAGTAAGAAAATCTCCCTCATTTCCATCCATGTGAAGCCATACATCTCAAAAAATTTTATAGTGTTTTCTTTAGCAGATTTTTACATTAGTAGGTCACTTCTGTAACTCCCATATGTATCAGTTTAAGAGCTTGTTTCAAGTCAAGCAGTTGAGTACTTGCCTTCGTGTAGCTGAATGAAAATGTCTTACCCAGGTTTTCTTTCTTTACGTATTCCAAACTTATTGATTAGATTGCATACAAAATTGGAAGGGGAGCAGAAAGGGAGCCCTATCTGTGGATTTTTTTCCCAGGAAATTTTCACCAGATCTGGGTTTGCAGTGTATGTGTAGGGTATTGAGTGTACTATTCCTCCTGGGTTCTCCAGGTTTGTATTTTACTGATGAATTAAGAAATAGTAGAATGAATGTGACCTGAGACTTGGAGTGTGCACAGGGGACTGTAGTATTGAAATCTACTTCTGAGTCTTGGTGAGGCACTGTGTGCTCAGCTCACAGATGTGAAAAGACCAGGCCAAAACCATTCTACAGGGGCTGTGTCAAACTGCAGTGCTGCTTCTCTTCACATCAAGCAGGTGCTTCTCTTGTTTTTTGTGTAAGTATGCTGCCATTGGTATCATCTGAAACCTCAAAAGATTATGATTTCCATATACACTGATAGAAGGTGTTAGTGACTTTTTTAATATGTCACAATCATCTAGATGTGCTCTATCATCAGGTTTTCAGTCTTGCATTTTCTTTTATCCTGAGCTGTTGAAAAGTGGGTGGTATGACTAGTAGGATTCATTATTAATTTATTAGGTGTATTGATGTGACTGTTGAATGAATGAGGTTTGCAGTATGTTTCTTAGATGGCCTTCCTGTCAGGTCCTGTGGTCTGCTATCAGCTTGAGAGCTGGTTGTCTTTGTACATGATATCTGACTGTCTAGAATGATTTCAGAGGAGGGATGCTGTAAGAATGTAAACTTTGAAGGTCTCTGATAACTACAGCTTCTGTAGCTTGGACATCTATAAAAATAAAACTAGATATTCTTCTTGACAACCTGTGTCAACTTTGTAGTTTTGAAGTAGTTTTGCCAGGGGTAGTAGTTACTGTTTCATGAGTGCTAAAAATCTGAAATAACTACCAGCCATAAATGCTCAGGTGAAATTGATAAATATTATGCAAGTTAAATGTTCTTTTTTTATACCTCATTTTGCTCTCAGTATGGGAAACAACAAGCAAAAACATCAGTCATAGGGAGTAACCTGTGCAGTGACTTGATTTCCTCACTGTGTGTCATCTAGAAGTCACTTGCTCCCAGGAGTACCAAGTCACACAGTCATTGGATGCTGTCCTTATGTTTTTATGAATGCTGCAGTCTGGAAGAATATGGGACATATTAAGATTAAAGGGTTTTAAATTATTTCATGGTTGTCCAAACACACTGGAATGCTACAGCAAACAGATGGGTTTTTTTCCGTTTTAAAACAAAAATAACTTAATTGTCTTCATTACTTTTCCAGAGGAAAAGATAAACAAATGGCTGACAGTATTCTGAACCACCTATATTTTGGTTATGCCTTGCTGCATTCTCTATTGTAGTACAATTAGGGAGAGATCCATTTTTATCCAAATCACTCCACAACTTCTGAAGCATATTTCCACAGCTTGGAGGGGGGAAGAGTCCTGCCTGAGAGCCAGCACACTAGTAGTGCAAAATCGTTTTATGGTTTAAGGATGAAAGGTCTGATATTTTTAAAATAACTGGATCCATTCCCATATTCTGAAATACTACCAAAATTAGTTTAATGAATAAGAGTTGTAGTATAGAATTAATGTGGTAGTTAATACAAACAATTGTAAGATTTGCAGGGGCTTTTTTGCTTCATTCTTTCACTGTGGAATACTTTCACATGTTTCCAAGAATATACAGCTAAAAGGTAATACTTGATAGATTATGCTGCACAACTGAAATTTTTAAAATATGTATTTTTTAGTGTAATGTAATAGTGAAATGGAACACCAACTCAGGACAGAATGCCAAGTCGTTATATTCTACCTCAAAGAAAGGCAGTTATTTTGAGAGAGATGAGAAAAGGAGGAGCATGAACAAATAAGTGTCTCTAAGATGCTGAAAATATTTTTTAAAACCTGTGTTCTGGATACAATTGGAAATAAAGTACCTGTTTTTCAGGTGTTACGTTTTTCCGTAAATAATGCTAAGATTTTTGTTCTTATTTATTCCATGAATATTAGCTTGCAAGGGAGTATCTTCCTGAAGGGTAGGGTTCTGCTAGACTGCTGAAACACTTTCCGGGAAAGAAGGTTCTTCAGGACTTGGGCTGAGGGAAGGGGAGAGTCAGGAAGGAGAAGGGAGGCTTGGCATCTGAGCTAGGCCTGTAGCAAAATGGAATGCTCAAGTGCCTGATCTGTGTTTGAAACAGGAAGGTGGTTAAAGAATACTGCTTGGTTTAAAATGTAGTTGCTTTATCACAAGGAATGAAGAACAGGAAGTGATTTGAAAGTATTATGTTTGCTTACTTTTTTGCAACATATGAATTTATGCCATTTTTTGCATTAGGAGCACATACTCCAACCTAACTCACATCCTAGATGTTAGAAAAGCTGTATCCCTGCAAAGTGTGCTTAATTCAAATAAATTATCAGCTGGAGCAGGACAAAATTATGAGCTAATTTTGAGAGGTCTTTTGTTTTGTATCTACTGTTAAGTGTGTAAAAGCATAAATATCAGGGTCAGAAGTGGTACCAGCAGAGTCTAAAGTATTTCCTTTCTATGTGAATAAGTACTGTGGGTGGGGTTAATTTAAGCAGCTGGAAAGAAGAGTAAGCAGACTAAGCAATACACTGTTCATACTTGTCTTTACCAAAATCTCTGTTGTTTATGCTGATCTAGGACATGTGTAACTATTGGAAATAGAAATTTATCATTGTACAGTAGTTGTCTGGTAGTTTGTGCAAAGTGGCCTGGAATTCCTACTGGTCAATTGGTTTTCATATGGAAGGGTTCACTTTTGCTTCCCAGTACAGTTGTTAATTAGAGAGGATATTAATGGTTTGCGTGTGAAGATCTGTACTTTTATGTAAGGAAATTGTATTTGATAGGCGGGCTAGAAGTGAATTGATGAGCTACACTTGCTAAGAGGCTGCTGTGGTGTCTGAGTTTTCCCAAATTGCTCAGTTTTTTAGCATCCTTGAGCAGTGCTGACTTTGGAATATTGGTTAGCAATAGTATAATTATGAAAAGTTATTCCTGCTTGTCATTTGTTATTTTACTGACAATTTGAAAGTCTAAACCTGTTGTGTTATACATCAGTCCTGATTTGTTAAGAAGTAACAGGAGACTGAGGTCTTGCAAAAAGCAGCATAATTGAATTTTAATGTGCTGATTTGAAGCTTTGACGGGAAGACTAGGTGTTGAAGAAGATAACTGGTTCATGTATCATAAATTCTGGCTATAGTTGACAACTTACAAATGATAGTACCTGTAGTCTGGACTGCTGAATTTGGTAAATACTAGGTGAAGTTAAACATAATACATTTCATTAGTGAATGAGACTTGTCTTACTTGGTATGTAAATCTAATGCACCCACTGTCTTTTCACAAAATAGGTTGTTACTGGCAGAAGAACCAGGATTCAGATCTCAGTGGAACTTGCTTTCAAAGGCTGTTGAAACAAAGGACTGCTTTCTAATTTGGACATGGCTAATCGAGGAGCGACAAGGCCCAACGGGCCAAATGCTGGAAATAAAATTTGCCAATTTAAACTAGTACTTTTAGGAGAGTCTGCAGTTGGCAAATCAAGTTTGGTGCTTCGTTTTGTAAAAGGACAGTTTCATGAATTTCAAGAAAGTACAATTGGAGGTGAGAAAATTACCCTGTTAATTGCTTCATGTTATGTGTTTATATCGTCCTTGCCCTTGAAAGCCTTTAATGTAATGGCACTTCTAGAGTGATCCTTGACAGCAAGGCTCAAACCTGTGTCAGTAATTGAGAACTGTAACTTTGAGTTAAACATAAACATCCTTTTCAAATGGAGGTAGTAAAGGTGTCTTGAACTGCATAGTTTTGAAACCTGGCCTAATTGTTACATTTTGTTTGTAAGTGGGTGTGTGGCTCTTTTAATTGTGCTGCATGCTTAATGCATAACATAATTGCTTAGTAAGAATTGAGCTTAGTTTCTATGAAAAAAACCGAGCATTGCATCTTGCATAAAGCTTGTGTTTGTCACTTAGGCATTCTGACTTTGATTTTGGAGAACTTGCTACATCTTTGGATATATTTCTGTGTTAGCAATCACAGAATTTATTGTGCTGTTTTTCCATTTTGTGACTTCAAGCAAAACAGGTGCTGGCTACCAGAATTTTTTAAAAAGATCTGTTTAGCTTTAAACAGCTTTTATCACACTCTTTCCCTTGACAGATTTCTTAAGTTATATTGTGTTTTGGAGTTACTTGTGCTTTGAGCTGTATTCCTCCTTGGATAGATTTAAATGTATCCTAAAACTGCCTAAGAGCATACAGACTCTACAAAGTTTGGATTTTGTGTATTGATAAATACTCTCCAGTAGCTGCTGTTGCAGCTTGCATGAGTCAGCCTGTTCCATTGTAATATTTATGTGAAGGCCTTTCAGTGGTCTGTATGTGTCTTCACACACCAACAGTTGTTGAAATGTAAAAACGCTGGAAAGCTTACAAAATAAATGCAAGCTGAATTTCATTGCATTCTTCTTTTGCCCTATTTCTAGCTGTTACATGTGTTTATTTTTTCTATCTGTCAGCATAAATAGACAGCCACATATTTTCTGCTTTAGCAGTCTTGCTAGTGCACACTTTTGGCTTAGTGCATTTTATCGTGGCTTGAGGGTAGGTGTTGGTATGAAAGTTTCTGTATGCTCTGATAAACAGCTGTGTGGTAATACAGAGAACTTTCTCAAAGATGTGTTGTGAATTAACTTTCCAATATCACCAAGGTCTTTAGTTTAGAAAAACAGTTAAAATTTAAGTAAAATTCATTGTTCCATTTCAATGATCTCAAAATTCATTTAACCTCTGTTTAATTTTTTCTTGTTTTAGTGTTTGGAATAGCCCAAACCCTGTTACACTGATCAAAATCTAAGCAAAGGTTAAACAAGAGCTAAGTTCAAGTTCAGATATATAAAGTTTAGCGTAATCTGTGTTAACTTGTGCTTCTTCTATATCAAATAGAAACAAGGAAATGCTATATAATACAGCTGAGAGCTATTACATGCAGCAATGTTGGGATTCAGAAAAGTTTTCTATAGAGAAAGCTGTCTAACTCTGTGGCTTGTAGTTGCCTAAGGCATAATTTTCTTTGTATACAGAAGGGCCTTTTAACAAAGAGAGGCTTATGTGCATTGTGAATCTGGATAAAAACATCTGAAAGGGGTTGCAGTGAAAGGCAGACATGTTGGATGGTGGTGGTGTGGTTTTGCCACTTCAGACTAGTGTAGCAAGGCCTGTTAGTTGCTTAAGACAAATGTATGGCTGTTAAAGAAGATAGATTTTCAGATAATTAACAGATGATTAATTGTCAATTTACTATGGCCTTGGCAAGGTCGAAGAAAGTTATCTTTTTTGCAGAAATTAACTTTTATTTTAAAGTGGTTGAAATGTTACTTTTGACAAAAACAAGAGGATTACAAAAAATAAACCTCTTGTTTAATTCTCTTTCCAAGTACATACCTTCATTTATGCAATGTAGGTGCATTTTTTTTTGTTAGGAGAATAAAGTCTGTGAGAACTTGAAAATCAGCTTGCTTAACATCTTGTCTCTGCCTTGGAGAAATATAATATTGAGCTGGTTCTGGGGAGAAAGCACTTAGTTTAGTGCAGGATGCATGGTGTTTTTCCACTCTGTTTTGGTTCTGGGCTGCTTAGGGAGCTGCCAAGTGGAGCCTGTTCTACCAGTGTTCAGATATGTAGCATTTAGAGAGATTTATGTTGATTTAACACTGGAACATCAAAGCTTTTACCTTCTCCAGCCTGCCTGCTCATCTGTGATGGATGCTAATACCCCTGAAGCAGGAGCACCTGACCACTTAAGGAGTCAGCTTCTGGTCACGGTTTAACCCCAGCCAGCAGCTAAGTACCATGCAGCTGCTGCTTACAGCTGAGACAGGGACACTTCTGTATGCTAGTTACAATGTCCTTTACAGAGCAAGAGTGGCTTCATTTTGGTTTCTGTAATGAGATGAGTTGAAGGTTGGAGCAGTTTTGGAATGATTCATACACTCTCAGAGTATGTAGGACAGGATGCAATCCCAGGTATGCAAGTGTTAGGGATCAGTGTCTCTTCATCCATTTGATTTAAATTGATCACAGTCCATCACTGTGCCTAGTGATCAGAGCTCCTGCTTCAGCTAAGTAGTGGGCCTTTCCTTAGTTTAATTTTTAATATGGATTTCTATGCTGTGTGGGCACTCACCTCCATACTTCTGATTGCACCTTAATCTGAATGGAAAAATTTTACTAGTAGTAACTCTTTGAAGACTTGGAATGAGTTAGTATTTTCTCTAACTGGAAGACCATTATTTATGGTAATGCATTCAGCTGTAGTAGCAATGGCTGCAAGTTTTCCTGAAACTGCAGGCTGTTGAAATTGTGCTGAAATTAATTCTTGAGATCACTTGCTAAGTCAAAAATACAGCTGCTTTGAGAACAGGAACTTTAAAGAAGTGCCTCTTTCTTCCAGACCTGTTAGCTAAGGCAAAGTTGTTAGGAGCTGAAAATCACAGTTTTAAATTGCAAATCAAGTAATACAAACATGTAGAATTAAAAATATCTGAACTTTAGGATTATAGCATGATGAGATGCTGTTATTGGTACTCTAGTATCCATCCTGCTTCAGCAGACCATATCTAGAAGCTTTAAGAGAAGGCTTATGGTTACTCAGACTCACTATAATGAAAAAGGGAATTCTTTCCAATTTTTGCTTTTTTATGTCTAACTTGAGGAAAGTCCAGTTGTTTAAATAACTCCTCTGTGTTGATCAGAGTCAGACTGTCAGCATTTTGTTTGAATAGATAGTAAATAATGATTGCATCAAACCTGTTGTATTTTAATAGTAGGCTACAAATGTTTTGCATCTCTGTCAGCATAGCTATATATGAATAGAGAGATACAAGCAAACTTCTGGTTTCAGCACCTCTGTCTTTTTTGTAGCTGCTTTTCTAACCCAGACTGTATGTCTGGATGATACAACGGTAAAATTTGAAATTTGGGATACAGCTGGGCAAGAGCGGTACCACAGTTTAGCACCCATGTACTACAGAGGAGCACAAGCAGCTATAGTGGTATACGACATCACAAACGAGGTAAGTGCTGGAGCAGGGATGCACGAGGGGGATTGGGGAGTTCCCAGTCTTGCACTGATCTTTACGTGTTTTTTTCCTCACTGACTTGTGTAAATCAGTTCATCATTTTGTAGAATCATAGAATGGTTTGGATGGGAAGAAGCCTTTAAAGGTCATCTAGTCTGACACTGCTGCCGTGGGCAGGGATGCCTTCTGCTGGACCAGATTGCTCATTTCATACTGCACTATGTAATGTCAATTTGTGTCTAAACTTTTCTGGCTAAAAGACTGTTTCTAGAGTTGGGGTTTTGTTTGTTGTTATTTTTTTTTTTTGTTTTGGGGATTTTGTTGTTGTTGTGTTTTGGTTTGTTTGTTTGTTTTGGGGTGGTTTTTTTGTTAAAAAGAGGGAAAAGAAGATGAGAAATCCTCTTGTAAAAATGTTTCTAACCCACCCTTAAATCAGTTCATGGAGTTTGCGCTTTTACTCTCATCACATTGCTGGTGGCACCTTTATTTCTGATAATGCAGCCATTATTTTAATATAGTATTTTTGCAAATTTTGATTAAGGATTGGAAAGGTAGCACAAGCTATTGAGACCAAAACCAAAGGTTATTAGATTTCTTTTTATTTGAACTTGGATGAGATAAGCTTCACTAGTTTCTGATAAAATTAGACTTAAAACCCAAGTCTCTCAAAAAAACCACAGAAATCATGTACCATAATGAACAGTCCTCAGTAAATAAAAAGTAATTTTGAGGCCTTCTCAATGTAGCTGTTCATACACTTGAATCTTCCAGAGAAACTGAATTTCCCGTTTTCTCTCTTAACCACTTCTTTCTTTACTCTGTCTACACAAAGATCTTCCTACCTATTTACTTCATCATTATCCCAGCTAAGCACAGTTGAGAGCTAAGGTAGGAATGTTTCATTTTAAAAGCTCAGTTGGCAATTTGGAGTGTGCCTTTGGACTAAGGTAGCAGCCTTACATTGGCATTTTGTGCTTGAAGTGTGGGTAACAGAGATGGGGATAATAGGTGAGTACAAAAGGATGATAAAACTCAGTTGCATCATTTATAATCATTAACAGGAATCCTTTGCCAGAGCGAAAAATTGGGTCAAAGAACTTCAGCGACAAGCAAGTCCTAACATTGTAATAGCTTTAGCAGGAAACAAAGCTGATCTAGCTAACAAGAGAGCTGTGGATTTCCAGGTATGTACATAATTTTGTTCATAGAAATTGCATTTTGTTTGAACAGATAGTAAATAAACCTACGGGGAGCTTATATGCATAGCCTAGCTAGTTATTATGGAGGTCATGCTGTTAAATATAAATGTCAAGTGAGACTAATTAAATTATACATGCTACCAAAAAACCTATTTCTGTATAAGTAATATGGAGGAATAGGCTTTTTGGAATAATTAATTTGACTTTGAGGAATAATTAATTTATTTGCTTATCTTTAAGGCTAATTGAGTATCTGTTCTTTGATGTGACCTCTTTCTTTCTCCTACCCAAAATTACCAGTAACTAGAGTTTCAGTGGATGAGATAGGAGTAACTTCTGTCTGGCTTGTCAGCCAGAGAATTTTGATTATCGTGTGATACAAAGCTGATTGATGTGCCTAACTTGCTTAGGCTGTACTGTTGAAGCAGTGTTGAAATTTTAATTGAGTTTTTCCTGGCATTTCTTTTGGTTTAGTGATTACAGCTGTGCTCTTACTGGTGTATTTTATCTTCTAGAAAGTTTAATCAAGCCATCAGAAAATAGCCTTTAAACTGAATTAAACTAACAGCAGGTAGTTTTGGTCCATTCACGATTGACTGAATATGAATTAAGATAGTATTTGTTAGTCAGTAATTGATGGTTTTTAATCTGTGTTTGGGGTCACTGTTTGAGATACAGCTGCGTATAGTAATGAATCCTTTTGTAATAGAGAGTTGAATTAAAAGGTTAGCAGTGGTTTAGGTGTTTTTCTGCTAGTTTTTAATTTTATACTTCTGTGACAGTTGACAGATGGCTTTGGTGTTTTTTGAAAAATTGTGGTATTTAGCAAAAATTTCATACATGACTGCAGTCAATAAGGCAATCACATTTAACTAACAAAGTAGACCTTCCTGTACTATTTCTTGAACAATTACAGTCTTAATGTTTTTCAAATGTTAGGGGGTTTGCTACTGTGTATTTGTGGGCTCCTTGTGGGCTTGACAGGCCTTTCTCATTGTGAATCAAATATTAATTTCTAAGTATTTGTTAATGTGTTGTTTCAGATAGAATTACATAGATCTTAGCAGGTGTCACTTAATTATAGAGTCGTCGATTATTCTTATGATCATCAAAGGTGTTCTGTAGTTCAGCTTTTTCATGGATTTCTTATTGAATGCAAAGGTAGTTACATAATCATAAGAAGCTGCAGATTCTCAGCTGAACTGACTAATAAGAAGTGGCAGAAATAATATGGTTCTTAAGAGCAGTGTATCAGATTAAAATTCATACTGAAAAGGGAGGTAACATGGCAAATTACTGATTACTGCTTATTTGCTGTAATTGTGAATTTATATCAGGATAATAAAACTGTTCTGATCCATCTGCCTCAGTGGTTGAAAGATTCAAGATAGTTCACAGACTCCCTTTTTCCAGGGTAGTAATGGACTTGCTGACATTTGATGGCACTTTTGAAGCTTATTTGTTCTTACTATCAGAGCTAATGTTCTGCATCTCTTTCATAAATAGTTTCATTTATGATTTGGTTTTTTCTGAGATTTTTCCACCTGGATATTTTTAAGATTAGTAGGGATCTTTAAGATTCCACTTATAATTGTTTAACTGATTGGTGAAATTGTAACTTCTTCATAACTGGTGTATAAATTTGTGAGATGAGTGTTTCCACAAACTGTCTTTCTTTCAAAATGCTGTAGAGATTGTTTTTCTGTAGCAATTAAAAGTACAGTCTGTAGTGATTGTATGAGTTTACTTCATAAGAAAAAAATAGAAATGTATTCTTATTTTAACTTTCAGGAAGCACAGGCTTATGCAGATGACAACAGCCTATTGTTCATGGAGACGTCTGCCAAAACATCTATGAACGTAAATGAAATATTCATGGCAATTGGTGAGTTTATGAACAAAATGAGAACTTTAAAGGGAATGGTTTTCATGCGATTCAGACCGTGGCAATCTTGCTAACCTCTTTGTCTTTCATGTGAATGAAAAATGTGAATTATTTTTGGTGTTGAAGTGTTCTTACTCCCTTTCATTTGTTTAATTTTATTTAAGCTTTTATCTGAAATCCAAAAGCTGTGCCAAAGATGGCAATGTGTGCTTAAATTCAGTGTCCAAGTTAGAAGTAAAGGACCCTGCATGTGAAAAGTAAATCTACTCATATATTTTTAATTTAACATAATCGTAGGGATTTCTGTAAAGATGCTAGCATGTAGTAGTAAGTATAAACCAAGAACTTTTGTGTTCCATTGATACCCAAAATTCTATTTAATTGTTAATAGACTTATGAAAGTGGAGGAAAAAGAACTCATTTTTAGGCTGGCCACTAATCTATTTAGTAGTTATCTTAATTATAGTAGATCCTTTGATAGTGAGTAGTAGTAATGTATAGCATCAAATAACCTCACTCAATCTGTTTTGTCTGTTGCACCTCTCTAACCTGCTTTTTGTGAAAAAACATCATTCATGTTAAAGTTAAATGTTTTTTTAAAAGGTCTTGATCTTCTGCTTTCCAAGCCAGGGGAGCAGGAGGTAGTTTTTGGCGTCTTTCAAACTTCCAGCAGATGCAAATTAAATTATCAGCATAGCAACACTTTATAATAAGTACTTGCTTCATATTAACTGTAAATAATTGAAAAGGGGGATAGACACAGACACTTAACTGTCAGACAGGAAAGTATATTTTTGTCATAAATGTTCAAGATAGGCCTGCATTTAATGATACAGAAATGCTCAACTGTACTATTCGGGTGAAATGTCAAGATTATGTTTAATAGTGCAGGTTGCTTCCTGTTCAAAAAAATCCCCAAAATCTGATTTTTTAAAAAATTTGATATATCAACGATAATTCTTGCCTCCATATTTTAATGAAGCCTATAAATTAAATTTGAGGGAAAAAATGCCCAGTTAGTAACTGCGTGTTTTGTCTGCAATGTTTTTTGAAAATTTTACATCAGTGGGGTGAAATTCAGTTTTGTTCGTGCATCAGAACAAGATCTGTGCAGCAGTAGACTCTGAATGGAAATTCTGATGAGGTTATCAGTATTGCATGTAATTTGGAATGGCCTGCAAAATATGGATGCAATTTTCAGGACCGTGTATAAATATGATCTTAAAGCTGAGAGAAAATTAATAATGAGAATGTTGAAAGAATTGTTGGATGCAAGCTGCAGCTGCTTCTAAATTGACTGCTTCAGCACTCATTCAGAACTCCCAGTTAAAAAAATCCCAATGCTAATTCAGTTCTAGATACAGTTCTAGAATCCAAAACATTGCTCTGAAGACATTTTTCTGTTGGTGCATTGACCCTTTGTACTGGCTCAGCAGCTTAGTACCATGTGGATCCTTGGGTTTTACCGCAGAACTGTAGAACAACCCAAGTTGGAGGAGATATCAGAGGATCCCTGTGGCCCACCCTTTTGCCCAGCACCCTGAGGTTATCTGGCACCACAACATGTTGATATCTGCTCTGTGGGGTTTTTTTTGGCTAGATTTCATTCATTTTAGAAAAAGTTCTTTTAAACACTGACAGAAGTAATTACTTTGGAGTGAAACCATTCAGCCAAACTATAGAACAAGGGTGGTTGTTGGGCCCTGGTAAGATAGGCCCATGGAAGTCCTTTTGTGTAGAACTTAGCAATTTTCTGATGGAGAGAAATCCAGGAGAAGCTACTGCTCAGAAGGGTGACAGCTTTCACCCTTATTTTTTGTGTTAAGACTGAGGAGGAACCTTGGAGCTACAAGGGCAACAAAGAAATTACCAGTCAATTGACTGATAAGAACTGGAGAGAAAAGATAGCTTGAAAAAAAACAGGAGTAGCTTGGTCTGTTGTTGAGGGTCATTTTATATGTTGTCTGCAAACACTTATTCTGGCTGCATATCTGGGAACTGTTTGACCCATTTCTGTCTGTGTTTTGTGCCTTTTCAATGTTTCTGTATCTTTTTGCACTAACATCCTGATCTTAAAGCCTGTTCTGTGTGGGTGGATTCCCACAAGAGCTGTCATTTACTGGCATAGCACACCTGTGCAGATACATTTTACTGCTCAGGTTACCAATGCCATTTCACTCCTGGAAATCATCAAGTAGCTAATCATTAAGAAGTGTCTTCACTTCTTTTATTACCAGTGCATCAAATCAAATCAGATTATACAATGAGTACACTGATATGCCTATAATGTGTTGTTCTGTTTACTCAGGTGATTTAATCTTAGTAAAATCTCAGGTTTAACTCTTACTTCCTGTTCACCTTACAGCAAAAAAATTGCCCAAGAATGAACCACAGAATGCAGGAGCCAGCTCTGCCAGAGGAAGAGGAGTAGACCTTACTGAACCCACACAACCACCCAAGAGTCAATGTTGTAGTAACTAAAAGATCAATTGCTTTAAACTGTTCTGAATATTCTTCTGCTTCCTAACTGTTAATAACCATGGAATTGGAGTGCTTAACCTGGTCCAGTACAGCTTCCAAACAGCGAAGAGACTTACAATAATAGTCAAGTTCATGATACAGAGTTTTCTTTTCACCTAAAATTTTAACATGCATGTATCCACCACTGGCTGTAATGTTTCAGCAGTAGAGGAGAGATGGAGGTGGAATAAACTTCCTTCAGTTGAAAGGTTTTAAAAATCAGTTGTTATTATTAGAGGTGTAGAAGAACTACTTTCTGTGGACCTAATTGGCCAGTTCCTGTAGCCTCAATACTGATCACTGTTATAATAAATAGAATTGGGTCTTTTCATAATTCTCAATTGTGCTTTAAAACCTCCTTAGAAACAGGGTCTAAAAATTACTTAAACTTATTTGCAGTATTGATGCAACCAGTTGTTTCTGCAGGTATCCATTGTTCAGTTATACATTCCATAGGTTAATAATTTTATTACAAATAATACTTGCATTAACAATTTTAAGAATCCTATGCTTGCCAGAAAGTGGAGTTTTAGTTGGTACACTGTATGTAAATTATATCAACCCAGTTAGTTATCTTAATGAATTAGTGATGAATCAAGTCTAACTTTATTTCTAATCTGTTCAGAGGGTACAGACCAGTAAATTCAACTCTACAACTTAGGATATGGGGTTTTTTGTCCTCTACAAACTGTAAGAGCTCTTCAAGTAAAACCACAACAAACTCGGTGTCTGTGACTTCTTTCTTGTTTCTGATCATTGCTGGCCATTACAGTTTGTTTTTCCCCTAAGGAAAAAAAATAGTGCACTAACGATTATGTACATCCAACTTGATTTTAAATTTGGATATTAATGTACTGTAAATAGGTACTCTGCATTGTAGTCTACATTTGTTTAATACTTTCTGTAATATTTAAGAGTTGCTTAAAGGTATACAGAATGTACAGTTACTTAAAGCTAACTTTTTTCCTCTCTAATCAAAGGGGGTTCTGAGTTCTTCCTTTATGGCTAGAACAGTAATAAATGATGCTCCTGTATCTGTAACATAAGTACTGCTGTCTGTCAGTAATGAACTTCGCAACTTTGTTTTCCAAAGTACATTTTATTTTGATCAGTCCAGTATATTGCACTAATTCTTTTAGTTATTTTCATTATATGAAATCTACAAAGTGTGTCAGAAGAGATGAATTAGTCTATTTAAATGTTGAACTGATAGAAACTTACTTGTGCAGATTTTAAATTTGCGGTAATCTGGGTTTAGCAAGAAAAATGACAGTTCACCAGTGTTTAGTTTTATATTGAGGTGCTCAGGTTTGAATAAAGTGGTTTAAAAAAATTTTGATTACTGGTTCTTATTCAGAGTTTCAGGAGGTTTTACTGCATTTGTACAGTTCCAGACAAGATGTCTGATTCACTGTATGGGTCAGCATTTAAGATGCTTACAATAAATTCATGGCACAGCTAAATATAAGCTTGTCCTATATATATTGTGGCACTCCAGTTATCCTGTGATAAATCTTTAAATGTTGAGGTAATTGGGTATCTTATCACATCCATTTAGAAGTATGATCAAAATAGTAATATTGTCTCTTGAACCTGCAGCTAATGCAGTCTTTGCCAGTTGTTCACAAGGTGACTTGTTGCATTGCAGTGTCTCTGAGCTGACTCTGTCTCCTCTGCAGCTTGTGATTTGCAATTGATTGGCTACATTTTTGTGTCTTTTTCAAACTGTGGTGGTGGTTTGGAACCCAGTGGTGATACAGTCTTTAGCAGTTCTTGACCAACGTCACCTGCAGTTTGTCACAAAATGAATTTGAGTCCATTTTTTTTCTGCCAGCTGTGTATTTGAGTCAGAATTAGATGGCATGGTTTTGTCTATTTTGAGGGCATTTTCATTGCTTTAGACCTTGATGCCAGCACATTCTCTTGCAGCTGTTTATAGCTGTGACTTGGACCTGTTGCACAGAAAGTGTTGGTTTCTTCCTGCTCTGAAATCTCACTGTGGATGAAAACTTGGATAAAATTTTCTGTCGTCAAACTGAGTTCTTCAGAGTCACCTTGTGTGTTAGAATTGGAGCAGTGTATCTCTATTCTTTGAATTTACTTCATTGTTACTAAAAAGAGACAGTTCTGGATTAGGTTGATTTTTGTGATCATTGGTTTCCTTATTAAGAATTCAATTTTTGCTATGCCTGTAATTCTTCCTGGAACATTTTCACTGATTTTGTTTCAGGTTGCCTTTTTTAGTCACTCTGAAAAATATTTTGGTTGGAATAAAATAGCTGTATTCTATCTTGCAGATGATTAATAGTGTTTGAGTCAGTTAAGTTGCCTCCAGTGAGGGATTCTAGATACTGACACACGGTGTCCTCTTTTGTTGAACAGCATTCATGCGTTCTCAAGTAATGAGTGGATGTTAAGAGTTGGTGCAAGTACTTTAGGTAATCCAGAACCCCTCAAAGCCCATTAGAAGTCAAAATAAGAAACTGGCAAGTAACATTGATAGGGACAGATGCAGTATGAAGTACAGATATAACACACGTTCTTTGTACTGGAGCTCTGTCATGTCCAAGAGCCCTTGTAGTTCTCTACAAATCTGGTTTATTAGTGCTGATGTTTCCACCATTCTGAAGTGTTTTCTCTCACATTAGAAGTGCTGTGCTCTTGAGAGACCTGGCTCCATTTTTATGTAAGACTGCACATACATCATCTGAAGTTTAAATAGTATTTATAGCATGCTGGGTGTTTTAAAGATACTGCTGTTACAGTATCAGCCTTTTGTTAAGGACTGGGAAGAAACCTGAGATCATAGTTAATAATCTGCTTCACATGCAACAATATGACCATCATCGAATCTGTTTCTGGTTTTACAGCAGAGTTGTCTGTGGATTTTCCCCTTCCATTCTTAGAAGACTGTTCTGGAATCTTCATCTCTTGACTGCGAATAAACTCTTACGAGGAGACTTAGGTGACATTTCATTCAGCTTAAAGTGCAGTCTAATATGAAAAATATGCACTCTAGTTTAAAAGCCAGTCAATGTGCAACTTCTCTATTTTTCTCAAATACTTTTTCTTCTATGAGAACATGTGCTTTCAAGTGTCTGAGCTCAACAAGAAGTTTCAGCTCAGACTGTTTCTGGCAGCCTACAAATTCTAGTACTTGAAAATACTTTGTACATGATGTAGGATTTACTGTTTACTTACAGGATGCCTTAAATCTCTTGGTTGAGGCACCCAACGGAGCAAGAATTCTTAGTCATTGTGGGAAGTTGAGGACTAATTTCTTGGCTTTAGTAGGAAGAGGTATTTTCCCTGTCCCTCAACATTTCTGAAATCTGAGAATTAAAAGTGTTAGTAATTGCAGCACTGCAGGAGGCTGGTCATGTCAGATTTGAATGCAGAGCATAAAGGAAGGAGCTCTGAACCCAAGTGCTGTGTTGTTTGAGATCCTCTGTGGCTGCCCTGGGAGACCATTTCTTGTATTAGAGGAGTTGTTCAGTTCCCTCCAATGTGTTGGCATTAGGGGAAAAGCAATGCCAGGCAGAAGGAACTTCCTTGCGATGTGGTGACTTTCTAGGCATGAAGCTGGCTGTAGTATGTTCATTTATATTGTATTTTTAATATCATCTGGCTAGACTGGGGCCCAGACCTCTGGAAAGGGTGTATGAGTAGGCATTGCTTGCACAGTAGTTGGGTTTCTTGGGCAGCATTGGCATCATCAAGTGTAGGAGACAGCTGTGTGTAGTCTGTGAAGGCAGATTTCTTCTGCCCTAAATCAGAAAGTGATTCAAAATACCAAACTGAAGGATGCACCTTTTTAATTAATTATAAATTCTAGATGCCTTAAGTTTTGCTCTGTATGTTTCCTTGTGCTTGTTTCCCCCTCCTTCCTCTGATTTCCATGGAGAGCTAGAAGAATGTGTAAAATATCCTTTAAACCCTTGGAGCCAGACCACCAACTGTAAGCCTGACCAAAGCCATAATATAACCCATGTGGAACAATCTGACTGCAAGAAAGAGTAAAATCCATTTCCCTTTTGGATGCAAGTCTCTCTTGTCTGCAAACCAGAGACAGGGCAAAAGAATCAACAAAACTTAGCTGACCTGTCAATGTGGGACTAAATGAAGAAGATAGCCCATGTTACCAGCTCCTGCTCCTTGTATCTGACCATCCTCTTTAGTTGCTTACCTGGAGCTGAAGAAACATGTCTGTACTTCTGTAAGAATGCACTCCTTGGGGAAAAATGAGAGTTCATGTTGTGTGAATGCTTTCCTTTGATGTGGTACATTTGGTGGAAAATTAATTGTATTAGATTAAATAAATGTGTATTTAGCAGTGATTCAGAAATGTGAACTTGAATCATAAAAGATTTAAAGTACCTCTGATGAACTCCAAACCTTAACTTGTTAATAGAGCTTGAATTTATGTTATCCTTAAGTGCAGCCCGCATGAAACCCTCTCTGTAAGGAATGGATGAGGCAGGTAACCAGACCCAGAAGCAATTTTGGTAAAGAATTCACCCAGCCTCAGTTCTTGCCTTAATCAATCTCTTTGAAATAAAATGTATTTCCAATAAGGTGGAAACAAATTCCTCTGAAAACACTGCAGCCTTTTTTGTGAGTTAATGCTGTATTCCAGTAAAGGTGTGACTGCATTTCCTGAAAGAACAGCTGAGCTAGTGCTGAACTACCTGTTTTGATACCTGTACCAGTCAAGGTCACATAGCTGCAGAAAGCTTATTTGAAGTCCAGCTGTAGCAGCAAGTGTTGAAGAATGGAGGTGATGAGATATACCACAGTTACCTAGGGCAGTGTCAGTGCATGATAAAGTTGGTTTACAGTGTTTCTCAGGCTGGCAGATGACTGCAAGTTGTTGTTAAGGAAAAGTATTTTTTCAATATCTGGAATTGTTTTTTTCAAATGTAGAATTTTTTTTTTTTTTTTTTTTGTCTTGACCACAATGAAGTCTCTCAAATGGTTCTCCCTTTTTCTACTGATATTTGACCCTCTTCATTAATTTTGGTCAAATTCCATATGGAGAAATATGAAGAAGTCTTACAAGTTGTGTGAATGCACACATCACAGAAGAAAGAGTGCCTCTGATGTCAGCTGCAGTGTCAGGCCACTCCTTACTAATGCCAGGGAGAGTAAGAGAGAAGTGGTGTGGTGCTGGGCATGTGCTTCAGGCAGAGGCTGGAAGAGAACGTAGCTGCAGACACAAATCCATTTGGAACTCTTCCCTCGCCTGCTTTTTTTATACACTGCTTTTTTTTTTTACCCACTCTGCTTGTGTACTTCTTTGTGGGAAAACAAGTATCTTGCTTGTAATCTCACAGCTGTTTTACCTATAGGAGAGGGCTTTACTGGTAACAAAAATCACCAGGTGGGAAGATAAAATGACTGGAGTTGCCAGTCTGCAAAAGCTTTTGTAGTGTCCCTTGTAGCAGAAGTGGGTGAAGAATCATTAAGAATGTATCATTGTTTCTGATTGTAATAAATTACTGATTCTGCACTAAAGAAAAGCAAGGTTCTACTTCATAAGGAAACAGGTCTGAATAGTTCTTTCATAAGAGTAAAATACAACAGATTCCTATTTCAGAAAGTAATAATTCAGATTATTCCTTCAAATCGTGTTTTCAATTTGCTGGTAGCAAAATGTGGTGACACTTAGTCCAATGAAACAGATTAATTTAACTAATATCTTGACCTTGTTTCATTGACACAAGGACTTGGACACATCAAAAATCAGAAGCCTATCCTAAAGTGATGACACTTTAAACCTCTTGATTAAAAAAAAAAAACAAAAAACATACTATTCTTAAAGAGGTCACTTGTGTATTATGGAATGTTTCCTAACTCTGTCTTTTACATTAGTAAATTGAATTAAATGCTTTAATTCAAATATTGTGCTTAGGCTACTTATCTAATAAGCTGAATACTATGGTCTGATAGCAGTATCAGTTCTGAGGGAATTTATCCTGTACCCTTCACATTGTCAAGCTAAAGGAATTGCTGCTTTTTATCTCCAGATACCAACTGCCAACAAATCTCTAGATTAATTTAGGCTTGCCTTTTTTTTTTTTTTCTTTTTACTTAATTGGATGATGGGAAAAAAAATCCTGGTATGGAATATACTTACCTGTAATAGCAACATGCACGAGCCCAGCAACACCACCTTTGACTGTCCTGGCTAATGGGCTGTGTGTGTTGTTTTCAGGATGTTTTCTTTGGTGCCATCCATCTCTTCTCTAGGAATTCTTTTTCCAGCTGAACCACCACTCCAGTGAACTTTGGAAACCTCATTCCTTCCCAGCTGTAAAAATCTGCATTTTCCAGAAGGACTTAGCATACACTTTCACAATAGACTGGTCTTGTTGGTCTCCTCATTGCTTGGTTCTTCTCTTTTTTCCTGTAATCTGCCTTGATTAGTCTGGCAAAAAATTCTAGAATTTGCTCTTTGTCATTTTTATTTTTGTGGGAGGAATCTATGTGAGAAAGCTGTTCAAGAAATAGAAGTGGAAGCTTTGCTACAATTGTTTCTGTAGCTGTCACACCGTGACAACCATCATGAATCTCCAGAAAGCATGTATCTGACCTACTTTTATGGTTGTCCAGCACAATAAACCTGTCTTCCATGTCTCTCTGCCATGTGGAATTTTTATCTTAGCAAATCAGTAATGCTTTTATTAAAGAATCATTTACTTTCTGAGAAGTACCGGGATTGTTGATATTGGCAAGATCACAAAATGGTGTGGGAGTGGGATTATCCACAAGGAATTCAAGTGAGTATGAGTCTCAGGGAATTTAGCGGTGTAGAATTTCAGGTACTGCAAGGACCTGACTCTAGTCAGCACCAGCTCCTCTGCCTGTCCTCCAGGCAGAGCTTGTGGCTTCCCCCTGCCCCTGTACCTCCAGTTCTTCCACTGCAGCTCCTTGCTCCAGTCTCCCCCATCAGCTCAGTCTCTCTCGCCTCACTGTGCACCCCCAGTGCTGTTCCAGGCCTGGCACCTGATGCTGCAGAGCCAAGGGCCAGAGCTGGAGAGCCTCTGAGCAAGGTGTTTCCTGACAGAGCCCTGCTGGCACAGAGGGACCTGTCTGAATTCACTACCTGCACATTGGCATGGCTCTACCTGGCATAGGCAAACTGATGCTGCTTTCTAAATATTGTAACTTGCTCTGGTTTGGGCAAATTGACAAGAATGAAAAGAAGCACTGCTGATGCCATTTCAGCCAAATTGCCAAGTGGTAGTTTAAAACCTGACCGTCTTGGAGCTTCTCTAGAAAAAAAACCTTTTAGCTTAATACATTCAAAACAACGTATTTTCCAAATCCTATTCTCAGGAACAGCTAAGCCATTTTACCTAGAATTTTTTCCCAAGTGATTTCTGCTTCAGGCTTGGAAAATTTCAGTATGAACTGCTGCTTGCATAACATCCTCTCCCCCTAAACCAGCACGTGACGTACATGCACAGACGCCAAAACACAAAATCCTGACACCATGTGAGCAGCTAAGCTTGCCAGCCTATACTTCATGTATCTACTAAGTACGAAAACACAGTCTTTATATTCAAGTTGATTATGTTTTTTTTTTTTTAGTATCTAGCATTTATGGATGAGAAAAATCAGACAAAAATGCATGTGCTGTTGTATTCTCTGAGATTTCTGTTTCAGTTAATCTTTGTTAATTGCTGATAATTCATCACCAGGGCAAGGGAAGGTAGTTTAGCAGCAGTAGTACCCCACAGCCACATTACAAGAGCAGCCTTTGGGAATTTCATTCTACTTCAACATCATTCCTTTGCTGGGACTCTCTCTTTGCATTCCATACAGCCACACCTGAATAAACTATTTTGCACCTGCTTTTTCCTGCAGGATTTCAGCTAGGAAGTACTTTTAGTACTTTTTTTTTTTTTTGGTCTTACTACTTCTCTCCATCACCGGTGTATTATAAGGATTTCTGCAATTTGTATTTCAATGCGTGCCTCTTTTCTGTCATGGCAGTTAGATAAAATGTTAAAGTCAAAGCCCTAACCTCGTCCAGCTGAAATTAATCCTAATACATCTTAATGAATCAAGTACCTCTGATCAGCTGAGGTAGATCAATTACAACATATCTTCTGCAAAGGCTGATATTAAGCAGAGCCACTTGAAAACCCCTTATGACAGTTTAGATAGCTTATCCTTTCAGAGGTGGCTTGCAGCTGGCTACAACTCTCAATCTGCTGTAGGACCAGTTTGTGGGAAAGTCTGTCTCTCTACAAGAGGTGAACATCAGACTCCTGTGAAGATGCTGCACCACTCCAGCAGGGAAAGGTAAGGAGGTGCATGGGTAAAGCTGCTTGTGCAGATCCCTTTTCCTTTATTCTGCATAATTTGAATTTGAGACAGATATGTCACAAGCCTTTTCAGTGCTTTCATTACAATGATGCATTCAAGCCTGAGAAGAATTAGGACTAATGTATACAAAACACCTGGTAAGCTATTTTTTGTCAGTCTTTTAAATAGTAACCCATTTTATGTGTCGTGTATATAAAAGCCCCTTGGATTAGAGACAGGAAATTGATAACTTTCAGCAAAATGTTAGTTTGATCTCAGCAAACTGAATTCTTAACACTCACATACGTTTTACATGGGTTTGTATCACCATAAGTGGCTGTAAGTGCTAAGAAATCACATTTTCAAAGCACCAAAACAGTCCCAGTTAATTACAATGTGTAAATAACCAGGAGAATATACATAATAATTCATGTAGCAGGATAGGCTGTAACTCTTTAGTTGCAATAACTTTGCTCATAATTATTAAAAGGGCAGCCCTGATGTTCATTTTTATGCTATGCATAAATTGCTTATGTTAATAGCAAAAAACCTTGTAAAAATATAAAAAAAGAAACATTTGCTTTGCTGATCTCTAATGAAGTAAAAAGATTCGTCTGGATGTCCTTCTCTCCTTGTATTTCTCCTGTTTCATCAGGAACAAATTTGTTCCTGTTTCATCAGGAACAAATACGGACTGGGAGGTTTTTTTGCTGTCACGTTAAAGGATAACAGTGAGATACTGACAGCACAATACAGCAAGCTAAGGCACTGCCAGCCTCACAGTGAAAGATAAAATTCAGCTTTCTAGCTCACTGCAGTTTCCCTGTGCCTATTTAGGGAGCCAAAACCCAACACAGTTTAATGTTCTGAGATGAAAATAGAAGCAGATAAAAAGAAATTAGATGTAGAAGAATGGGGAGTGAACCACAGCTTGAGATTATGCATGTTTTCAAGGGCAAAAAAATTGTATTTACTGTGTGTCATAACAAGGAGCCTCCTGGTCAGTGCTTAGTCTGCCATACACTGGCCTGTCTAAAAGGGACAGAATGATGCAGAGCATGAGGCTCATATGGGAGATGATACCATTGTCTCAGTAAATCTCATATTTCTGGAAAACCTTTCTAGCTATGACACTCAGAGCTGCTTGCTGTTAATAAGGTAAGGCAAGATTATTTTCTGTTTCTGCAGTTTGGCACTACAACCATCATTTTTTTAATTACCAAAGATGGAAGATGTTCCTGAGCTTGGAGGATGGAGGATCTGAGCTGTATCTGAGCAGACAAGTCCCATATGCAGTTATCTCTCTTTGACACATGTTGTTCCTATCTCCACCCAGAGAGAACTTCTTCCTCACTTCCCTTTGACACAGTCAGAACTTAGCTTGCACAATCTCCAGGCCTGAACTCCTTCCTCTCTTAGGTTTGGGGGTTTTATTATTTGCTATATACTTGTGGTCTTAGAAGATGGTGACTGTTACTGATGCTGAAACCAGTGCTGGAAAGATGCCTGCCTGTGGGTGATGGGACAAGGCAGGGAAGGACTGTGGGATGTAAAATGGAGGTCATGGTCTCCCTGAGTTTCTCAAAATATTATCAGCTAGTACGTATAAACAAATTCTTGCTGAATGAGCACCAGCTTCCTTGCCTGTCTTTTCCTGCTTCCCTAATGTACCTATTTACTTATTGCTCATGTCTCAGGTTGTGCTTCCCTCTCAGTCCTCTCCTTCCCATGAGCCTGTGACACTAGGGCATGGCTTCATTGCATGTCACCTTCAGCACAGTTCCTGCAGCAGCTGGAAAACTGTGAATGCATCACACCCACATGCAGCAACCACGGCAGAGACTCTCGGCATGGCCAGGACTGTCCCTGAGCTGCAGGGTTCCTGATGCCACCAGCATGAGTCAAGGAGCCACCCAGGGTGGGCAGCGAGGCATTGGCTCTGGTCTGGTGCAGTGTGGCTGTGCTGTGCAGCTCATGCCCTGCTCACAGCTGCAGCCAGCCTCTGCTGGGGGTGCTGCCTTAACATGTCCCAGGTCCACGTGGTCACCTTTGGCCAAAGCAGCAAAGACCAAATATCTTCTGTGAAAACCCGTACAAAGCCTTCCTTAAACTCATATAAGGCCTCTGAAAAAGTCTTCACCTGAAAAAACAAACTAATTTGCTAACCCAGGAGCCATGTCCTATACCTTCCATTATTTTTTTATCAGAGCTGATCCTCTCATTCTCTAAAACCATCTGCAGAGGGAATGGTGCAGAAGGAGCAAGACATCTTCTCCCAAGTGAGTCAACTTGGGTGTGCATGTATAGCCTACTTACTGCATCCCCAGAAGCAGTGATGCAGCTTCAAGAAAGTCTAGTTATGATAGGTGTGGGAAGAGATAAAGACAAACTTGTGAGTCAGAGGAGAATGCCAGGGGCAGAGCCTGCATTCGGGACTTGGAATCCTGTACTCCCACCTGTAAACCTGATAATAGGTAAGAAAGAAGGAAGCGATTGATAATTAAAATAATTATGGAATAAATTAAGATAATTAGTCTCCTTATTTATCTCCTAAAGTGTTGTCCAAAACTGGAATCCCGGGATTCCAGGCCCTCTGGTTTTGTGCCACCCTATAAAATAAGAGTCCCCATCATTAGGTCTTCTTGGGCAAGAGTTATAATTTGTGACACTGTCCGCTTGTGCAGAGCTGCAGCTCCTCAGCTGGGAGGAAGCATCAAAATGAGAAATGGGAGTAGTGAAACAACGACAAACCAGCTCTTTCTACACTCCAGATATTTTGCAGCTCTTCCTCATAGATGGGTCAGTCTCAGTGAGGCAGAAGTAGCAGTTTGCTATTCCCCAAGGGCCTGTGTGGGGCAGAGAGGCTGTGAAACAATGAGTGAGGATGGTGAGCCTGCCAGCCTTGGCACAGGAGGTGAGGGATGTGAGGGTTTGGGGACCCACAAAGAAAGCTGTGGCAGAAGGTAGAAGATGGGTGGTGATAACATAACTGTGCCTTCTGCAGTCCCAGTGACATCCTGCCTCCCTCACCCCACAGATCCCATCTGGGGTTGGTGCTGCACTCCTGGGGTTCCTCTGCATTTGTCAGCTGTACACACCACTGTTACAGTCGGCCCAAATGGAAGGTTTTAGCCTGTCTAGTTTCTGCTTCTTGGCTGAGGGGTTAGCAGTGGTGCCTGTGGTTGTGTCTCTAGTTCCAGGAAAATCCAGGATTTCCAGGTGGTCCCCCACACAGATATGTGGAAGGCTCATGACTGAGTTTGCACAAGTAGATGTGCTTAGGCCACTGAAACTTCATCTTACAGAAATAATATCCATGTCAGTGTTGTATCAAGGGTGCTGGCTGGCACCTGGGGAAAGGAGAAAGGAGGCCCTTTCTCTCCCATCCCTGCCAGCACTGCCTGGGCCAGTATCCCAGGGGTATTTCAGGCTTCCAGCACCAAATGACCTGCCCTACATGGCACAAGCAGTCAAAATGCACCCAGTGGAGTCCCAGAGGTTTGCAGGGATCTCTGCCACGAATTAAGGAATAGAAAGAACAGAAAAATACATTAAAGAAAGGAATAAACTAAAGAATTGTGAGGAGTCAAAGAGAAGGTAAGGGAAAAATAGGTGTTACATCCCATGTTTGTGAGAAGAGATCCAGAGCTATGACTGCCACAAAATAATACACTGTAAGCCTGTGCAGTGACTGCTGATGGCTAAATAACTTCAACAAACAACTGGACCTCACACACACAGCTCAAATGGTGCAAAGGCAGGAGTGACTCCAGCCTTTGGTTTTCTCACTTGGTTTGGATTAAATCAAAACTCTGCAGTCAAGAAGAGCATCCTCTGGGTAAGAAGCATATAAAAACTGCTAAATGGTCTATCACCAACGAGAAATTTGTGCGACTGGAGCAGCCATGGGTGTTGCAAATGACATTTTATCCATTTATTTTTCTGCATTTTTTCCTTTAGAAACTGGGTAATTGGGGTGTGAGGTTTCCTATCAAAGCAAAAACCTGATGGGAAGGTCTGTGCTGTTGGAGTCACATGTGAGCACCATGGGAAGCTGACGAGATGCTGGAGGCGGCCTAATGAGAAAAACTTTACTATTGTTAATACTTCCAGTGATTCATAAATTATTGATAGCACTCCTGAATGCCTGCTGGCCAGAAGGGAGGCCACTTCACCCACAAGGAATGCACTAATGAAAGGACACAATAGGATTTCATACTCAGTTCCCTGGAAGAGCAAGAGCTATGCTTTTCCTATTGGAATTGAAAGTAAAAACAGGTGGGAGCACTGGAAGAAAATCTCACTTGAACAAAAGGAGGGAGACAAGGCTGGGTTGGGCATGCTGGGTCAGACTGGGCTGTGAGACAGGGATGAGGGTTAGGGGTAGACTCCCAGAGCTCAGCTGTGGGCTGGGTGGTCCCTGTCAGAGCAGTAGCACTCAGCATTAGGCTGCTATTAACTGAGTCATTCTTTAATTTATGGGAGCAAGATAGGCCCCAAAAGCCCTAAATGACAACTTGGTAATAACCAGGAGTCCGGCACGCCCTGAACTGTATTTTGATTTCCTCTTTTGTGACTCAAGAATGCAGCTGCCTCCTTTGCCTCCTTGGAATAATAGTAACACAAAGGTTCTTGCATTTAAGCCTGTCAGGTGTTCACGGTGAATTCAGGCAGGAGCAACAAATGTGAAATGCATGTCTGACCTGCTGGGAGCATGGGCTCTGGGCAGGGATCTGCTCGGGGCTATCAGCAGCCTGAGAGAGACCTGAGACCCACATGAGCTGGCACCTGTGTCTCACCTGGCTCCTGGCTTCCCTAATTTGATGCAGACCAGTAGCATTCCTGAAGTCACCTGGCCACTCACCTGAGCTTGTGAGCTGAGCAGCACAGGCAGGATCATCTGCTCCCACCTGGGCTTCCTAACTCGGGTTTCAGAGTCAGCTCCACTTGTGCAAACCCACTGACACGCCCCAAAGGACAGAAACTGAAAAATGTGGTGAGGGTTTTTCAGACAATACTGTGAGTTTGAATCTAATTTAATATATTCATGTTTAATGATGAAAACCAAGCAACAGAGGGGTTACATGGTGCTCAGATTTATGCATGCATTATAATTGGAAAATTAATATGTGCTGCACTTCTGAATTCAGCCAACAGAAGAAACCAGCTTGGATATATACAACAATGACATGAGTCCACTCCTATCTCAAAGCATAAGGCGTTTGTTTTTTGTCTTTTTGCTCCTTAGTCTTGTTAAAATTTTAAATGTAATATTTTTCTTTTCACTACAGGAGTTTCAGACAAAGTAAAGCTTTTTTTCATTTTGTTTTTAACAACATATTTGCATAAAGTTAGAATGTGAGCAATGATCAGGCTTAATGTTAAAAAAAAGAAGAGGAAAACTTACTTATTCACAATTAGAGTGGTTTCTTCCTAAGCAGCTTCTAGCAGGCAGCAGTTCTGCAAGTGTGGTGAAATTAGTGTTTATAAATGTTACTATAGTAACTGTATCTGTAGCCACAAGCTGGTAGACTTGCATTTCTGGTTATCTGGCGAGCATCAAGGTATAATGGAAAAAAAGAGACGTGGCATTGTAAGCCAGCCATGCTCTTGAGGATTCGAGAAGGAACTGCAGTAAAATTATTTGCTTCCTGACAACTTTCATCTTTGATTTTACTTTAATGGAAGTAACAAGTTTTCAGGCTTTTAAGGTTCCTAAAGAATAAGGTTGTTCACCTAGGCTGTGATCCTGTGAGCATTCACCTGTGCGGCTTCAGACATAAATGCCCACCGAGTGGCCTCGATGCACATCGGTGGAGTTATTCATCTGTGTGAAAGCACTAAACGTATTTTCAGTACCAAAACTGTAATTCATTACATGCAAGTGTGCAAACTTAATGCTGGGTTAAATATCATTATCTACCTGGTTAAAGGAGAACCTGGTATTTGGGGGAAAAAAAACCAAAAAAGGAAAAACATACAGGGGCATGTAAAGGTACATCTACTCCCGGGAAAACTAGGAGTCGATGTTCAGGCGGGGATATTAAGTGGTCCATTGCAGCCAGCGTGTTGTTCCAGATGTGCTCTTTGCTCGTAACATTTGCTCTGCCGAGGAGGAGTCGTGGGAAAGCTGAAAGCGAAACTAAGCAAGAACAGTTTCATTTTCAAGTCCGAAAGAAGAAACCTAACCGGCATAAAGAAAATGCAAGCAAAGAGCTTCTTAGGGGCCGCTAATACACACCGGCTATTTGTTATTTTAAAACGTGATTCGGACACTTACAACAAAAATTTAAAAATAAAAGACGAAAATAATTCTCTCCTAAATTACAGAGAAACTGGATTTTCGTATCACGTTTAATTTCCTATTAATCTTGAGGCTGCTGCCGCCAAGGGCAGCGGCTCCTCCACCTTAACCAGTCCGTCTTAAACCGGCGGGGATGGCAGCAGCCATCTTACGGGTCGCTGTCACCGCTGCGGGAAGCCCGAAGCCCGCCCGGCTGCTCCCGCACGGCCCGGGTACCCCGGCTCGGATGGCAGCGCTGACCCCATCCCCATCAACACCCTGCCCATTTTAAAACCTCACCTCAAAATAAAAATATAAATAAGCAAATAGAGAAAACCAACAGATCTCCCTGCTTCATTAAATGCTTCATTTTATTCCATTCTGGTTTCCTGTAATTTCGTGAATATGCCAACTCGCTGTGTAACACCACGCTTGAAAATATCCCCAGGAGCTGCGAAGGGAAGAAGGACGCCGCAGGGTTTTGTCATCCACCTTTCCCCCCAAATATTACTTCGCACAAACCGAGAGTTATTTTTGCTTTCCCCATGCAAGCTGCCAAGGCCCTGTGCCTGCAAAGCCCTCTCTGTGCGCTGGGACTACCCTCCAAACTCACACTGCTTTTTTGATAGTTTAGCTTCACACATCAAAGAACCGTAAATCCCACGCAAACGCCCAGCCTCAATGCCAACCCTTCAAGCCGTGGTGCCGTAGTACGGAATTGCCATTTGTGGTTTCTCACGGCTCAACCACGGTTTTACATACGTGCAGCGGGGCAGAACCGCCTCGCAGCCGCTGCACTTGCTGCTGTGCACGGAGCGCGCTCGCTCTCTGGAGCAGGGCCATTTCCTTAATTTAACTTTCAATTAAAGGGTAATCCCTTTAAGGTATAAACTGACCCGCTCTCAACGCTTGTTTCTGGACACAACAAAAAACCAAGCCCCAGAACCGTGACACGAGAAACTGAGCAGAGAGTTTTTGAATTAGCCAGTATTTGAAATTGACCCATACTTTTACATTCAATTAGAAATGATCTGGGGAAGAAGACGGAACCCTTCAAGGGTGGCCGCAGAGGACACAGTGTGGGAAGGCAATGGTTAAGCCAAACAAAGTAGCGGCGCTCCGAGGGGCCACGGCGGCTGTGGCAGCACCGCGGGCTCGCCGGGCTTCGGGACCGTGCGACACCGCCAGCGATGCCGCCTCTTTTCAGGGCAACTTTCCGCGCAGCCTCCCGGAGGGCCGGGATGGCTCCGTAGCGGCTCCGCACGCCGCGGGTGCCGCCGCCCTTCCCGCGGGGGCGCCGCCCGCCCGCGCAGCCCCCGCGCAGCGAGCAGGGAGGGCGGGCGGGAGGCGGGCGCGCCCTTGCGGTGCGCAGCGGCGGGAGGCGGGTGCCGGCCCCCACCCCCGCCGGCGGGGCAGGAGCCGCCCGCGGAGCGGCGGGTCCCTCCTCCCGCCCCCCCGGGAGCAGCCGCCGCCGGCGGAGCGGCGAAGGGGAGGGTCCAGGGCCGGGCGCTCCGCGCCGCGCCGGCGGGCCGGACGGACGGGCGGCTGCCGCCGCGCCGCGGGCATGGCGGAGCCTGGCGGCGGCGGGGCCGGGGCGGCGGGCGGCGGCGGGCCGCAGCAGGGCTCCCCGGCTGCCGCGGGGGTGGCCGCCGGGGGGCCGGTCCGCAGCGCCGCCGAGAACCCCGGCGGGGCTGGCTCGGCGCGCACCGCGGGGAAGAAGGCGCAGCTGCGCGCCGCGCCGCGGGCCAAGAAGCTGGAGAAGCTGGGCGTCTACTCCGCCTGCAAGGTACCCGGCCGGGCGGCCGCGGGAGCCCCCCCGCCCACGGAGGGTGGGGATTGACGGGAGGGGAGGGGAGGGGAGGGAGGAGGTGGTGGGGAAGGGCCGTGCCCTGCCGGGGGCGGGGGCGGCCCGGCTGCCGCCCGGCGCTGCCCGAGGAAGTGGTGGCTACGGTGGTGCCGGTGGATCCTGCTCTTCTCGGAGCTTTTCGGCCGGTGGCCACAAGAATTAAACCCGTGCGCACCGAATACGGGACCGCGCGGGTAGCGCCGCCTTCCTCCCTCCCGCTCGCCGATCCCGCTGCCCGTCCCGCTCGCCCGTCCCTCTGCCCGCCGCTCCCGCCGCTCCGGCCGTCCCTCCGCGGGAGGCGGCGGCGGGCGGGGCGGCTCCCGGTGCCGGCGGTGAGCGCTGGGTGAGCGACGCTGCTGCAGCGCTCTCCGCGTAAACATCCCGGGCGGGGAGCGCCGCTTCTCTGCTCCGCCCGCAGGTCCCGGCCCCGGGCAGAGGCTGCTCCCGCCCGCCCTGGCCGCGGTCTCGCAGCGCGGAGCTGTTGTCACCGCTGAGGCCGCTGCTCCGGGCGGGAGCTGACACTGTCGCTGGCAGAGGGGCGAAGGGGCGCGGCCTCCGCGCTTGGGAAAGTTGTGTCCCCGGCGGTCACGTAGCGCCGGGCCGGTGTGTGGTGCCCGAGCGCACGGCGGGGTCCCCTGTCCGCCTGTGCCCTGCCCCAGCGGAGCTCTCTGCTCCGTGTCTGCCGGCGCTCCCGTTCAGGAGTGCTGCTCCTGGTTTCCCATCACAAGCACTTTCTGTCCACCTGCGATTTTCTTCTTGGTGGGAGAAGCAGGACTGGCCTGTTTATTATAGAGGGAGGGAGCTGGGTCAGAGCTGTCGCTCCCGCCTCTAGAGCTCAGGCCGCGGGCATTGTCGCCTGTGCTCAGAGCACGGGCCGCTGGCTGCGCTGCCGCTGTCAAGGCAATTTGTGGATGCACAGCGGGGCTGACATATTTAGATTGGCAGTGCTGATGTCAGATCCCCTAGTAACGCTTTCAGCTTTGAGAGTGGCTGTTTGTGAAAAAAGTGCATCTTATTTTCTCTGTTCTCCTACTTCGGCAGATGTTAAGTGAAAGGCCAAGCTGACAAACGAGACGAGGCATCATTGCACCACGGCTCTGTAGTCCTGGCTGGCCGTGCGAGGAGGTTTAGCTGTAGGCAGAGGGCATGGCGCAATGCTGCCATGGGAGGGCAAATTACGGCAGCCACACATTGCAATGCCTTAGCTGTTCCCACATGTGCAGGCACCCACACTTCAGCTTTGCAGCATGCACGGGACAGTGTGAGATTACACCGGTGCCAATAAGGTTAAAGAGCAGCTGCTGTACTTGAACTTTGCAGCACTAACTGTGGGCAGAATGATATGGCTTGAAGCTTTCCCAGTGATAATTCCCCTTTGCACCCCCATATTTTAATGTTACCAACACTTGCTAATAAATGAAGCTGGTTGTGAAGTGGGTAAATTTTTCGTGGGCTGTTAAAGAAGTGTGTGTGTGTATTTAAATTGTTTTTTTCTTCCTTGGTTGGTGCTTTTTTTTTTTTAGTTTTCCTCTGATGCACCTCCAGAAGATGTTTTTGAGGGTGAAAGCCTTCTCCTGTAGTGCTCTGTCCCGCAGAGGTTGCTGTGCTATAGAGAAGCCTTGTCTCCTCTGAAACTCTTTGCTTTTTTGGGGGCTCACCAGCCTCTCTCTTGCAGGTGCTTTGTGGTAAGCACCATTTGGAGGGGAGGAGGGCACACTCTGGCCTGCTGTCAGCTCCTCTTTCCCTCTTGCAGGACTCTGGTGATGGGGTACAGAGCAGGAACAGCTCCTCTTGTCAGTGCTCTGCTGGGTGTCCTTCGTCTGTGACAAATCTTGGATGTGTGTCTTGGTACTGATAAATGGAGCAGGACCCATGGTCAGGGGGTCTCCCTCCTGCCAGGATGTAGGCACAGTTCCAGCACTAAACACTGCACTGTATTCAGGTTAAAATTGCTGTTTGACTTCTCTACAGTGGCATCTACATACTCATAGCAAAAACAAGTAAGCAGACTGGAAGCTCCTTGCAAGCTTCTATGAGATAAGGTGGGAAGGATGGTGCAGGGTGGAAGAATGTTTTATTTTTTCTCCTGAGCACCTGGCAGGTGCTTCAGAAGGACACTTTTTGGCTTCTAACATCGCTGGAAACTGTAGCCTGGAGAAGCTGGTTTGCCAACTGTAGCAGTGCAGTGTGTAACTTTAAACTTTTTCTTACTTTGGGTTGCAACTTCTCTTTCATTGATTTTGCATTTGTGTGTGTGAGTGCAAAAGAGTGAGAGGAGGCAAACACACCATCTCCAAAGGGGACATCTGTTCTCATTCAACTAGTGACTGTACATGGATCTTATGTAAATCTATATGGAGCTGTGCAAGTTGGAGTGCTAAAATATGTAACAGCATCCTTAACGCCAGTCACCTTCTCCCCCAGGAGTTTCATTGCAAAATTCAGCACGCAGAATTCATTAGGAGCTCAGCCTCAGGCATGTTTGGAGTAACAGCCAGGGAGCACCTGTCTGCTGGGGATAAAGTCAGAACACAAGCAGGTGGAGAGGTCAGTGGCTGTGCAGAGGGTGTCTCACTGGTGACAGCAGAAATGCTGAGCAGAGAGTCAAGGGCACTGCTCTAGGGCAGGGTGCTTGGTCCTCAGGAAGGATCTCCTGGTCCCTCTCTACAACCCATCCCTTTTCATCATGGGAAACATGGATAAAGACTGCTGGTAAATACATATTTGGTGTGCCCGTATCCTGAGCAGAATGAGCCTGAAGTTTAGGGAGCTGAGACTAGACAAATGTGGAGTTTGGGTTTTTTCCTGATAAAAGAACTGGACCAGGAGAGTTGTAGCTGTTGAGCTGCTCCACTTGACTTGTTCCTCTGTGAGAAAAGTCTGGGTGGAAGGCACAGAACAGGCTCTTCTTAGTAAAAACCTTCTTAAAAGCCCAAGTCTGAAGGAGGAGGGTGGCATTCTGAACAAGATATATGAGAGGAGTTGGCACAGTTTTCATGACTTTTGGAGGTACACAGTAGTGCTGTGTGCTGTGGGGGGTTTTGTATTTGGTACTTGCTGTGTCTGTATGTGTATGAATGGCTGCATACATCGTTTTGGTTTTGTCCACTGTGAAATTGAGCATTAGGCATGTGAGCTTGCAGCATTTTATATAAAAGCAGCACTGTGTGACTTACACATATAAATATATTTAATGAAGATGTAGGAGGAAGCCTCCTCTGCAATTTTTTCCCCCTATTGGTTTACAATATGTGAAAATACAACTCTCTCTCCTGTCTCACTGGGAGCTTTTTTTGTAAATAAGGTGAAATATGAACTATTTTAGTACACTAAGTTTTCTGTAAACTCATTTAGTTTTCATTATACATGTCTTACAGTAATGCCTGGGTGTTTACAGATATAATTAGAACCCAGTAGTCTAAAGCACGTGCACAAAGAATAATGCCTCCTTGAAGAAAACCTTTTTGCTTTAGATAAGCACAGTAGAGGGAGTGAGAAGGGTTGTGGTGAGATGGCTTGGCCAAGGCCCTGCAGCAGGTGAGCAATGGGCAGATGTGGAAGTAAAATCCCAGCCCCAGGCTCCAGACCAGCTGCTTATCCTTTCTGGAAGCACTTCTTCCCACTTCTCATTCTAGAGCGGCCTCTAGTTTTCCCACACATAAAAAAAAAAAAAAAAAAAAGAGTTCATAAGGTAAACTTGTACCACCTTTTCCATAAGAAAATATTTTATTTCCTGATTTTTATAAGGCAGATTAAGAGGAGGCCAATTTGGCCATGTTACCGCTGGGCTCTTTATACGGAGAGTACAGCTCCTTGAAGCTCAACTTGAAATGTGTTATTTTCTGCAGAAGTGTTTAGGAGACAAAGAAGTCATCTAAAGCTTTCTTATCTTATCCACTTTCATTGTGGAGTGAATCTGTTTTATAATGTCTTACAGGGCCAATTAAAGCATCTTCCTTTAAATAGGAAATCTACCATTAACTTTACAAGGTAGGAA